TCAAGATCAGCAGGATAATGCAAGACTCTTTCAAGATTATCAAGAAAGACTCCAAGAAGCATCAAGATTAGCAAGATAATCCAAGATCCATGCATCTAGGGAGATCGGACGGTGGAGATCAACCAAGGAGAGTTCGATCCTATCAAATTAGATATTTAGATCTATCCTAGTTATTATTTCCTAGTTCTTTTACAATTTTCAAATGTATTATAAATATTGCTATTTTCCCAAAGTTATTCATCAATTCATACTTCAGATTTTCAGATTTTCTTGAGTTCTCTTATTTGAGTTTTCGCCACCTTTTCTCTCTCCTAGAGAAATCGGTGTTATTCGCTAGGTGTTAGCGAACGCCCGGTGCTTGCATAGCCAGCTCCGGTTCTCATTGCTTCCACGCTGCATCACAGTCTCTTCTCCTTGTTGACCTAAACTTTTATACTTTTATTCCATTTGAGCCAGTCTCTTCTCCTTATGCCCTTGTGCATAGCAAAGTTCCTGGTTTGATTTGTATGTTTCATTGCTTGCACCTTTATTTATTTTCACACATAATGTTGGTCTTTTTTATGTTTCCTTATCTATGCTACAGGATATACATGGTTAGAGTTGTGTCCACTTACTGGTAGAAAACACCAAGTCAGGTCTGATCTCTGTACTCAGTGATAGTAATCTGTCTATTATGGTACACAACTCTATTATGATAGAGTTGTGTCCACTGTGCTAGGGGACACCAATGGTTGGAGACTACAAGTATGGTTGGCAAGTTCACAGGAAATGGAAACCTCTTTCTTGGTCAAATCCTCAGAAGAATAAGAAACTTCCAAGGACAAAGGAGTCCCCATTTGGCCTTAATTCAGAGGGTGGAAGCATTGCAGAGAAGCAGCCTCACCTGCATCTTCATTGTAGACAGATGATTTTGCCTAATATATCCCAGGCTCTACAACATTTGAAATCATCTTCAAATTGTGATCTTTCAGAAATGGAGAGCCCCAATCTGGTTGCACAAATATTTGTTTCCCCTTCTCCATTTATTTTTGTTCTCCATTTTTCATAGTCTTCTATGCCTTCTTCTTACACAAATATTTGTTTGATTTAGATGGAGGGTAGCAAAGATTGGGCTCTGTCCACTAGATAGGATGTTTGCAGTTTGCAAAAAGATGAAATTCTCCATCAATAAATTGCATGTGATTGATGGTGGAAATGGATCAACCAAAGAAGATAAGGCAGTCAAGGCAATTGCAAAGTTTGTTGGCGAAACTTTGAAGAGTAAGTGATGTGTGATGTCCTATAACTCTTGTCCTTGTGACACATGTATCCATTCTATATCAGTTAGACATTTAGTCTATGTAAATATTTCCTTGTGTTTCTAAATCCCATAGTTGACAAGGTGCTTAGGTGACTTTGGATGATATAACAAAAAAGAAAGATGATTATGAACAGAATCTTGCCAAATTAATTGATATCTCGGTTCTCTCTGCCATTTCTGGTTTTTTTTGGGGGTCTCAGCCAGAAAACACGTGCAAATGTTTGAAACAGAGTTGGGTGGTAGTGGTGATGGTGGTAATAGCATCGACGGGTTCTGTAGCTGGATAATTGAATACTCCGTACCCCAGTCGGTGAAATAGATTTTCGAAGAGAAAGGCTTAATTAATTAGAGAGAAATGGTGAGATCGGTAGTAAGGGAGGTTCAGGTTTTAGGTTGTCTCAGATCGTGTGAAAGAGGTTTTATACACTTGTGGTCCCTCGTCTAACAGGCTGATGGTGTACTGACACGATTCCCGCGTCATCTACCCTCCGCTCCACTCGATTCTCGCTTCTCGTTTCTCGTTTCTCTTTGGAGTTCGGATAGGCAAACAGCGAATCCACGTCATCCCAATGAACCATCAATGAAAGTGGGAATGGGCCAATAAATAGGCCTAATACCAAAATGAACGAGCCTTTTTAGCTTGCAGGGGCCTCTCCGCTAGTCTTTTCATTAATGTAAGACCGCATTTTTCACAAAATTGGTTCTTCAAATTCAAAAAGAGAAACAATTCCAAATTTCACCAACAGAAAATGGATTTACCTCAGAATTCTGAATTTCATTGCATACCTATAACAAATCAAAATTTTAAATATCTTCGCCTAAACATCAATACCCCCGCTTGTATTGGCATCAATTCTAACTGCTTACAGAAACCATTTTTTCTAAATTTTTTGACACCTGTTTCTTAAAATACTCCATCTTACCCTTAAATAAAAAATTAAAAACTACTATTAACAGTTGTTAAAATATTTATCAAATGCTAGCTCGTACCTACCCCTTTTTTAATGGGCTTTCTGTTGGCCATTTAGAAGTTGAAGGTGGATACTAAATTAAAACTTCAAGCAGATGGATATGGATGGACCGTCAACAAAAAAGAAAGTCTTGTACCGTAATCCGTAATGGGCCTTTCATCCCAAGAATGTTCTGGAATTCCACCAGCAGTCACCCCCAGAAAGAGTCGGAGAATAAAGGAAGTGGTCATACAAGTTTATCATGTGATATCCAGTTACTAATTAATAACCACTGCCTGTTTATCATTCTTTGTGATGGAAGTCAATGAATTCAATTACCGATTCGGTGCCTGTTGCCTTAAATATCATGTCAATCTTTCCTATTCTCTTCAGTATTTCCCTTGAACGTCAAATCTCAAAGTTATAAATATTATTACAAGAGACCCATTGCAGCACCAAAAAACTTTAGGTGATGTTATGATCTCTTTTAACGGTGATCAATTCACACCTCGTTTGTGTTTTGTCAAAATTTTTGAATGCTCAACGAGGTTATCCATCGTAAGAAGTTTTTGAACCTACAATTTAATTTAATAGAGTCATATTTAGGATAGTGTTAAAAATGCCCACGTTGAAGGGGAGTAATTAGGGATGAACATCAACTAAGGTGGTGTTTGATAAATCTGACATCTGAAAAGTTAAAAAGATATTAAAAATGTCTGAAATCTTAAAAGAGGCATATATGCTTTTTTACTTTTTAGAGGTTTTGAATAGATAAGGTTGTTTGTATTGGATCAACCCTTCAGCATCTAAAATTCCCTAATTTTACTATTTTACCCCTAAAACAAACTATTTGATAATTTTTAGCTCAATTTGCATTATTTTATTAAAAAAAATAATTTATTAAATTCAAAATAATAATAAAAAATACGAGTAAATTATAAAAATAAAAAATAATTTATTACAATAAGAATAAAATTAAAAATATATATAAATTTATAAATGAAAAAATATATATTAAGAGTTAAAATAATAATGAATTATCAAGAGAATTCTGGCATTCTAGGCCTTGAATTCATAGAGCCACTATTGCTCTTCTCTAAGCCATCTTATTTCTTCTCTATCCCAATCCAATAGATTCGAAGACAATGAAGAAGAGAAAGCTGTAAATCTCTTAAGGGGGAGTGAGGAGAACTTGCGAACTTGAAACAGGGTGAATTTGAGCTTTGGAGGGTTTCGAAGCCCGTGAGATAGGATCAAAGGTGGCTGAGGAGGCTGGAGTCGAAAGGAACGGAGGATGCCATAGAAGGCCAAAAGCTTGTTAGTGTGAATTCGTAGGGCCAAAAGCTAGAAACTTTCTTCGGAAATCTTGTTCTTTAGGTCTTCTTCCTTTTTAATTTTTTAAATGCGTTTCTCTTCAAAAACCATTGAAAGCCCAGGTCAAGTAGATAAGTTCCCACCTCCATTGATGAGGTTTGGTAGAAACAATGGAGGAAACATAAGTAGAGGGAGGGATCGAGCCAGCCCCATGTTCATCAGAAAGAAGAATGATGTCGTTGAAACCTAAGAACCCTCTTCACCCAAGGTCACTTGCATGGGACAAGTTCGCATTAGAAGATCCAAGCAAGCTACAACTAAGTCCAGCCTCATTGATGTCACAACTAGTCTCAAATGCAGTTGTCAATGTATCCGGGAGGCTCTGCTTTGTAACCGTTCCGCTAAAAGACTGAAACCCAGGACATCTGGTTTAGTATGGTGAAGATGGCTTTTGTTTTTCCAATTAGGTTATCGGAAGAAGGTCGAAGACCCTGCAAGGAGAGAACCCAAATCAGAATATACAAAAGAAGAGAGAGGGAATTCCAAAGAGAGAGAGAGAGAATATGATTAGCCAAAATCATATTTTGTTAATCGAATGAATTCCACAAAGAGAGAGAGAAAGAGAGAGAGAGTGAGGGAAGAATGGGATTTCTTTGTGTTTTACATCATAGTTTCCCTTCCAACGAGTTCTCCATCGCCAGCAACTATTGGATTTCTTCTGGTTCTCCATCGTCGTCTCCCTTCTCGTTCGATGGCAAAAGATCAAATGGGGCTTCTATCGGGTTAAAATAGGGATCTAATTTGTCATTATGAAAAATATTAAGGACATTTTAAACTTTTGGCCAGGTCTGAAACACATCTGACCGTGTTCAATGCCTAGCCTGGGTCTTATGGTTTTCAAATCTGAAAATGCAATTCAGATATTTTTTTAGACTCAAACCCAAACATAGGTAGTGTTTGAAAAGTAACATTTTTAGGCTTTAGAGGTCTGGAAAGTGTTATCAAACGCCACCTAAGATTTTTATCTGCTATTTAAATTTGGTTCATGAAAAATTTGATTTGGCTCAGTTTAAATTAAGTTTTAAGACAAGTTAAAGCACAATAAATAGGCTTGTTTACTAATCGAATTGAGCTTGAGCTTAATGAAACTCAGCTTGTGAGTCTCATGAGCCTAATCAAACTTATATTATATAATTTTTTTAATTGTGTATATAATAACAAATAGTTTTTTACATGTATAAATTTTTATATTTTATATAAAGCTTACCTCACTATCAAGCTTGAGAGATGAGTCAAGTTCAAACATACGAGCTTTTGAATCAAACTGAATTAGACATGTCTCTAGATTGAATCGAACTCAAATCTAAACTTGACCCTGATATTTTTCTACCAATTTGAGTTTCAATCTACTTGTCAGCAAGAATTCCAAACAAAGAAAAAGACAAAAATGGTGCTTCCAATCCACACATCAGCAGCACCGTTTTCTCATATACTATAATTATTGGATTGGGCCAATCCAAAATAAATTGGTCCATATTTTTATTGGTCTAAATTAGACCTAAATCAAATTTCCAATAACCCGATCATGAGTCCAAACCCTTGTCCAATTTGAAACTGATCAAAACCGAAGCCAACATAAAATCACTTTTTTGAAAGTACTTTTATGAAAACACTTTTACGAAAACACTTCTATAAAAGTAATTTTATAAAAAAGTACTTTTACAAAAGCACTTTTACAAAAATACTTTTATGAAAGCACTTTTACATAAGTAACTTTACAAAAATACTTTTATGAAAGCACTTTTATAAAAGCACTTTTACGAAAACACTTATAAAAGTACTTTTATACGAAAGCACTTTTATGAAATCACTTTTACAAAAGCACTTTTATAGAAGTACTTTTATAAAAGCACTTTTACAGAAGTAAGAACTTTTATAGAAGTACTTTTATACAAACACTTCTATAAAAGTACTTTTTATAAAAGCACTTCTAAGAAAGTACTTTTTATAAAAGCACTTCTAAGAAAGTACTTTTATAAAAGTACTTTTACAAATCAAAAGCACTTCTATAGAAGTACTTTTATAAAAATACTTTTATAAAAACACTTTTATGAAAATACTTTTACAAAAATGCTTTTTCAATGCCAAAATGATATATTTTTTGTAATTTTCAGATTTTCTTCATTTTGATATATTTTTATACTTTTTTATATGTTCTGTTTTTTATATAATTTTCGATATTTCATTTGATTTGAATTGGACTGTGTTGGATTGAATCAAATCCTGTCCAATTGACACCTCTACGCGTATTCAATTGGACCGTCCAATCACTTTAGACTTTTGAAAAATATAAAACGCAGGTCCACGGCTACCCCTATGGTTGCAAGTTTTCAATCCACCTGCCCAAAATAAGAAAAGAAGAGAGAGAGAGAGAGCAAAATATCTGTAACGTTGCATTGGAAGATTGGAATTCTGGGTATGGATTGTGGTGTTTCACTCTCTTCTGCAACTTCTTTGATTGGATGTAGAGATACAAAAATAACCGCTTTGTTGTGGAGCGGAGTTTTCAGTCCCATCACATGTAACAACCCAAAAAAATAGTAAAAAAAGAAAATTGAAAAAAAAATACAGATTGTATTATATGACTACAATATTTTTATAGACAAGTAGATGGTTTTAGACTAAAAAGACCTTTGGTAGAAGGGTTATGTTACAAATAAATATTCTCGACGCCAAAAGAATCTTCTAAAATAGCAGCTAAAGGTGGGTTATTTAAAATGCACATCCGCGTAACCAGCTTAGCAAATCTTTCCTCTCAAACTGGCTGTTCATTTTGTTCTTTTCTGATTAAAAGACTGGCTGGTCTGCCATTGGTAAACCAGTGGTCAGCTAGCTTAGCCAAAGTCAGTTGCTATTTTAATAGTTATTAGGTGATGGTCCTTCCCTTTTTTTATTTTTTTGTTTGGTAATCAGTCCTTCCCTCATTAGACCATATTTAGTTCATCCTTCCTCCATTCTCAATCTCTTAATCGCACTGTCTACGACGGCAGCAACAAGCATCATCTGTGGAACCATGGGGATCAGCGGCAAGTATTACAGTACTGGGTGTTCTGTAAGTAGTGGTCTCCTCCCTATATGCTTCTGTTTCTCCTTTATTATATGTTTCTCCAATTCCATAGACATTATATCCCACACCCAATATATTAAAGACCCAGAAAGTATAGTTTCCGCAGGCAGCCAATTCAGACTAGGTTTCTTCAGCCCCACAAATTCTACCGACCGATATGTCGGGATTTGGTATAACAACATCCCGGAATTCACAGTCGTCTGGGTTGCTAATAGACAAGAGCCGCTTAACGATTCGTCTGGGACTGTTATGATCGATAGCAATGGGAACCTTGTCGTCTTGAATGGACGGAAAAAAGTTATCTGGTCTACAAATGTTTCAAACACTGCAAAAAGTTCAATAGCCCAGTTATCAAATTCAGGGAACCTTATCCTGAAGAATGGCAATAACAATGAAACAGTATGGGAGAGTTTTCTTCATCCTTCAGACACATTCTTGCCCACCATGAGGCTTGGTACCGCCCTCAAAACGGGTGAGAAACAACTTTTAACATCATGGGAAGATGACTCCCTCCCTTTGATCGGTAGATATTCTGCAAGTATTGTCCCTTTGGACATTCCTCAGATCTTCATCTGGAATGGCTCGTCACCGCACTGGCGAAGTGGTCCATGGAACAATCGGATATTTATAGGGGTGCCGGACATGCACTCTGTATACCTCGATGGATTCAATCTGGAAGCAAATCCTAAAGAGGGCAGTGCGTACCTAACTTTCTCTTATGTTAGTAAACCTGATTTTATGAGGTTTGTTTTGAATTCTCAGGGAAAGTTGGTAGAATATCGTTGGAATAAAAGAAAAAACGATTGGTTTGTTCACTGGTCCGTCCCAAATACCGAGTGTGATGTTTACGGCAAGTGCGGGCCGTTCGGAAGCTGTAATGCAGCGGATTCACCAATTTGTAGTTGTTTGAAGGGATTCACACCCAAATCTACAGAGGAGTGGAGTATGGGAAATTGGTCCAGTGGGTGTGAGAGGAGGACTCAATTACAATGTCAGAGAAATAGCAGCAATGGTGAAAAAGAGAAAGCAGATGGATTCTTGGCGTTGAAAATGATGAAAGTTCCAGATTTTGCAGATTGGTCTGCTGCTGATCATGAGAAACAGTGTAAAGAGCAGTGTTTAAACAACTGTTCTTGTATTGCTTACGCTTTTGATGACAACATAGGGTGTATGTCTTGGAGCAGAAATTTGATTGATTTGCAGAAATTCTCTAATGGCGGAGTGGACCTTTACATCCGTTTAGCTCATTCAGAACTTGGTACGGCCTTTTTTTTTTTCTATTTTTTGTTATTTTTCTTCATTCCCCTGGTCGCCCTTGTCTTACATTAGTACAATTATGATGATGATGAGGTTTAATTAAGTCATAAAATACTTACTTTTTTCCATGTGTAAAGATAACTGGAAGTCAAATTTTCTCACCAACTTTGGACATCTTTTGTTTGTACAAGTTGGCTAATAACACTGGAAAGAACAGAACAATCTTGAAGTTTCGAATTTCGAAACAACCCATTTGCTTATTTTTAGTACTGGTTATAATTTTCAGCCATGCCAACCTATACTTTTGATGAAAGCATTTTACACTTCTTTTTGCAATTTTCAGGAGCAGGTAGAAACGATCCCAAAGCAATAACTACAACTGTAGTGCTCGTAGTGGTGGTGGTGATAGGAACAACTATTATGGCTGTCTTTATCTACTTTTTGTTGAGGTGGATGGCTACACAAAGAGGTAATTTACTTATTATGATATTAAAAGATATATTTTGTTCAAATTGAAAATGTACGAGTAATATGAATTGCATTCATATTAATTATTATATATATATATATATATATATATATATATTTTTTTTTTTCTAAACTTTCATGGACCAAAACTTTTGAACAGATTGATTCTAAGGATAAAAAGGGTCTGTTGCATGTTCATCAGTTCAGTTATGTTAATAGGGAGGCCAATGTAGTGGCCCATGTGGTGATTATGATACTGTATTCCCACCTTCCTTAAATCAATGGAATTTTCTCCTAGCTACCAAAAACCAAAAAAGAAATCTGATAGATGCACCATATGCCTTTAAGAATTGGCAGTTTGCCTGACCAATTCAGGGTCAGGTTGCTTTTGGCGGAGTTATGACTTGTGAGGAGTGCAGGGCCGGCCTAAACCATGACAAGCCCATATACTTATCATTGTACACAGCACCAGTCCAATTCTAGTAGAGTCCTCGAATCAACCAACCCACTTGATCTGCAAGCCATATGACTAGGCCCAGAAAGGAGAGTTAATTAAATTGTTTGATTTGTTTCCATAATTATGTATCCTCTATTAAGAAAGAGTAAAGTTTGGCTAATATATAGATCTAGAATGGTTAAGCACTTACCAAGCCTAGCTGGTCTACCAGACCTGTCCAGAGTGTGGCATTAAGACCTAGCACTAAGTTGGTGCAGCATGTTGCCTCTCCTACATGGCAGTGACTTAACCATTACTTCTATTCAAGGATATTGTATCGCAAACTGAGTAGCCAAACCAAGGGTAAAGGGTTAGACCATGCTAATGCTAATTAGTTCCTCAATGCTAACTCTTGAAACAGGAAAGAAAAAGAAAAAACGCGTGCTCTTGGGAGAGGCATCTAAAGAATTATCTGATATCGACATGCTTGAAGACAGGATTAAACAAGGAAAAAGCATAGACCTACCATTCTTTTATCTTGAGGAATTGGCAATTGCAACAAACAACTTTGATGCAGCAAACAAGCTTGGGGTGGGTGGCTTTGGTTCAGTATACAAGGTAGGTAGGCAGGGCTTGTTTATTTAATTGGCAATGCTGCAGCCTAATCTGCTCCAGGCCAATCAAAATCTGCTACATAATTTGAAGTTTGATATTCTCTCAACCGTGGGAGAAGTTGTGATGATTGGATTGGCCCAAAAGCAGCCTAAGGCTGCAGCTTAGTTTTAGTGGAAGTGGCCTCAATAAATAATTGGAGAATTTGACTCCAGGGAAAGCTGTGGGGCGGGCAAGAAATAGCTGTGAAAAAACTCTCCAAAAGCTCAGGGCAAGGCCTAGAGGAGTTCAAGAATGAGGTTGTGCTCATCTCCAAGCTCCAGCACCGAAATCTTGTGAGGCTCCTTGGTTGCTGCACCCATGGAGAGGAAAAGATGCTGATCTATGAGTACATGGCCAACAAAAGCCTTGATGCCCTTCTCTTTGGTAAGATTTTGGAGAAAACCAAAAAAAAAAGTATTCAAGTACTTTGTTCTTTCATTTGGATATAAAACCATGCATGCATGAATCTGCTTCCATTTTTATTTGGGAACCCTCATGCATACTTGTATTTTGTTATATGTATTTTGTTTTGACAAACCCTCATGCATACTTGCATATTCAAAACCTTTCATCTAATTAGTTTTGTGCTTTTTAATCAGATCCAGCCAAACGAACACTTCTAGACTGGAAGAAACGTTTCCATATCATAGAAGGAGTTGGCCGAGGGCTTCTTTACCTTCATAGAGATTCCAGATTAAAAATTATCCACAGAGATCTAAAGGCAAGTAACATTTTGTTAGACAAAGAGATGAATCCCAAGATTTCAGACTTTGGCATGGCAAGGATATTTGGTGGTAGCCAAGATGAAGAAAATACTAAGAGGGTGGTTGGGACATAGTAAGTAGTAATTATTTTGCTAAGCATATATATATATATATATATATATATATATATATATATAGCTCATCAATATAATTTTTCCTAAGTTGGTTAAATCCTCAATCTAGAGCAAATGAAACCTTTTAACATTTTTATTACGAAATTGTGATCTCTTCAAATTCATCATTTAAGTATTTGAAGTTTGGCAACTGCAGTGGCTATATGTCCCCTGAATATGCCATGGAAGGTAGATTTTCAGAAAAATCTGACGTGTTCAGCTATGGAGTATTGTTACTGGAGATTGTGAGTGGGAGAAGGAATAGTAGCTTTTACCTTCACCCGGATCCTTCAAACCTTTTGGGACATGTAAGGATACCTATAAATATGCTCGTTTCTTTTAATTAACTTTATCATTCTTCTCACAAATTCTGTGTTTGTTTCAGGCATGGAAGTTATGGAACGAAGAAAAGATCTGGGAATTAATTGATCCAATACTTGGAGAACGGTCTTCCCAAGTAGAAATTTTGAGATGCATTCATGTGGGACTTCTATGCGTGCAAGAATTTGCTAAAGACAGACCAACCATGTCTAACATAGTCTCCATGCTTAGTTGTGAAATTTCAACTCTCCCTGCTCCAAAACAACCTGGATTTATAGAAAGGCAGATATCATCTGATGGAGATTCGTCGCAAAATAACCGCAGCGTATGCTCTTTAAACAGTATTAGTATTACAATGACTGAAGGCCGGTAGAATTAATATGGTATTACTATATTTTCTTCACCTATTTCCTTTTCCTCGTTTTTTCTTCTGGGCATTTTGTTTTCATTTCTTGTAGCTTGATTTTTTTATTGAATTTTAGAGACCCTTGAAAAATTAAACAGAACGCCTTCAAAATAAATAAACAGAATAGTTAATGGGCTCCTGTTATGGGCCCGAGCGTAGGATCGCGTCACGGGTCGCTCCACCGCAGGAACCTCAGATCTTTCCTTGCCCTTGGCCTTGCGTACAGGCCCTATTTTGACTATCTCAGGGGTAATTTGTCCAAGAGATCACCGAACTCTCCTTTACTCTCTTTCTTGACTGAATATTCGATATCCTCATTCAATAATA